TTGCTCCTCAGCACTTGAAACAGTTCCTTCGCAGTTGACTTTCCCAATGCTACACGTCGTCTAATGTCCTGACTGCTGCTTCCGTTGGCATTTATTGTAGAACCAAGCAACGTGAAAAGCCTTATGAACAGTTGCTAATATCACAAAAAAGAGAAACAACAGATGTTATTTCTTTTCAGATGAAAATCCACACCACTACCTATGGTGGATCAAGCCTCTGACATTCTGCAATTCAGCTACCAATTTTCTGGAAATATAAAGGGTAGAGGACCGTGTTAAACTGCACCATGAGGATGCAGTCTGCAAAATTCAGACTATAAGAAACTCGACAGGTCAAATGAGCAAGTCCTTCAACAGATACTTGAGGAAGAAAGAGATGTAAAATACATTATTTTTTAAAAAGAAATATTAAACCATATGTCTAGAGATGAACTCATGGGTGATAAAACATAAAGAAATACAAGGGATTAATTACTATAAAAGTCAGGATACAGATCCTTTGGGGAAGAGGGAGGGGTTCATGCTTGGGAGGGGATCTAGGGTGGCTGACAAAACTCTACTTCTTGATCTAGGTAACAGTACAAGACTGGCTGCCTTATATTCATTAAGCTATACTTTTTTGTGTGGCTTCTCAATCTGGTTTTTATGTTACAAAAGTGGTTATTGTTTAAGAAGCATTGAGTTTCTGTTTATGGTGATGGAAAATTTGGCACCTGATATTGGTGATGGTTGCATAACATGATTGATGTAATTGGTGTCATTAAATTGTACATGTGAAAAATGTTGCATCACCAAATGTGTTATCTATATTTTTATAACAATAAAAAACTAAAACCACAACAAAAACAAACAGCAACGAAAAAGAGGTTACAAAAGTTGGATAATTTTTTTAAAAGGTTATATTTGTAACTTTAAAGATGTATAATTAATGCAGACTAGGTAAACCCAGAGAGGCAGAAAATAAAGTAGTGGTTGCTAGGGGTTGGGGAAAAGGGGAGTAATTAGTAATGGATATGGGATTTCTTTTCAGGATGATGAAAATGTCTTGGAATTTACATAGTGATGAAGGTTGTGCAACTTTGTGAATATACTAAAAACTATTCAATTGTACACTTTAAGAGAATGAATTTATGGTATGTAAATTATATCTCAATAAAAAAAGATTTATAGTTAAATATTATGTTGGTTAAAGAATGGAGGCTCTGAAGAATAAACAAAACAATTCTGAAAAGAGTCATTCAGATGCAGATAGGAATTTGGTATACCTTAAAAGTGGTCGTTCCCATCAGTGGGATAAATTATTCGGTAAGTTGTGATACATGCATGTGGGGGTAAACAAATTTCTCTGTAAGGATATACAGAGTGGTGAAAGTAGATGACTATAGAGAGGGAAAATGGGTAGCTTGGGTACTTAGGAAAAAGGGTGACTTTCCATTGAATACACACTTGTACCTTTTGAATGTTCTATCACGTCAGTCTCTTACCTCTAAAGTCTAACTGCCTGAGTTCAGATTCCATCCAGCTCACCCAATTGCTAGCTCTTAATCTTAGACAAATTCTGGACACTCTCCAAGCTTATCTCCTTGTCTATAAAATAGGTTACTAATACTCAGGTACTTAGCCTAGTGTTACCTGGAACAGAAGAAATTCTCACTAGATGAAAATTATTAAAAATAACCTAAATACCCAAGAACTGATGAATGAAATATGGCATATCCATACAATGGAATATTATGCAGCCGTATGAAGGAATGAAATGTCAATGCATGTTATAAAATGGATGAACCTTGAAAACATGCTAAGTGAAAGAAGCCAGACAGATGGCCACATATTGTAGGATTTAGTTTACATGAAATGTCCAGAATAGACAGTAGTGGTTACTCCAGGCTGAGTGGAAGGGAAAATGGGAAATGAGATTGAGTGCCAGTGGGTATGCAGGTTTCCTTTTGGGATGATGGAACTAGAATCGTGATGATTGTACATCCTTATGAATGTACTAAATGCCCCTGAATTGGACACTTTTAAATGGTGAATGATTTGGTATGTAATATTTTTTATAACAAAACCATTTAATGTAAATTACTACTTTTCCTATGATGACCGTCCACAGCCCACCTCCCCCATCCCCCTACATGCTCCCCCACCCTTCCCGTTCCCACTCCCTCCAGCTGCTCCATATGGGCTACGAAGAGCGCCTTGGGACCTTTGGGCGCCTGCGTCCTGCAGCCTTGGCTACTAGGACGCAGTGCGCATGTGCACCCACCACCCTCCGGCTCCTGTAAATGGACGTTTGTAGCCGACTTTTCTCGCGCGCTTCGGTTGATGGCGACGATCCAGGAAGGCGGCGCGGGACCAGGTCGGTGGAGGAGAACATGGCGGGCCCTTCAAGATAATACTTAGGTCCATGTGTGCCTTTCATATGTTTGATGTCGTCCACCCGTGACCTGCGGATGCTGTTATCTGAAAGCCAAGTTGGGCCTTCGTTCGGGGCTTGCAAACACTGGACTTCCGAAGACAATTAGCATCGAATTATGCCTGCCTTCTTCGTGTGAAATGTGATCTCATGCCATTGCTGAACCTCACCAGTAAAGTGGTACAGTGACACTGATCATGCTTGTTGTTGTGAAGGTTAATTGAAGTAACGTGTCTAAAGGTCCGGAGCATAGGTATTGGGTATATGGTGTTTTATATTCTAGGTTCTGTTATAGATGGGCCTCAAGCTGCCGCAGTTCACTTGGCTAGACCCCAAGGGATCAAGCCCTCGGCATAACTCTGAGCCCTTGCTACTGCCCTACTAGGTTCCCCTATGTTTTGTATTCACCTCTGCCAGCTATAACCAACTAGGTGCAAGGCGACCCAAACCTGTTGGAGGTGTGTCCTGAATCCTATTGTTTTCTAAACTACCTATCTGATAAGCCATGAGAATTGAGAACCGTCTCTTTGAAAGACATGTTACATTTCTACTGGTCAACCCAGACTTCGTCTTTTGCCATTTTCAACTCTACCCAAAGTTTATTTTTTTAACTCTAGCTCAGACTCTACTTCTTACATCTGCCATTTTCCCTATTAATGCTTTTCATAGGCCCATAAAATCTCTCCCCTTTTGGCCTTTGTAGCCTTGGACCAAGTTCTTCATTCTTTCCTCAGTTCTTACCTTCTTTACCCCATTCTCCCATCCATATTTCTTTTCTTTCCAAAGCCAATGCAGCCTTTGGTTCTACCCCCACCAAAGAAAAACAACCATTAACAGCATCTTAAAACTTAAATATCTTTTTATTACTCATTTATTAATCCTATTACATTTCTTTATTCAATTTTATTACGTTTTTAAAGTAAAGAATAAATAGAAAAATTTATATTTTTCTATATATGTGTATATGGAAAAACAGCTGGTACCCAAAGTAGCACCAGAAATCCTAGCAGTTTATCACATTGCATAACCATAGTATTGAGCAATTTCCATGTCTTTCTCCCTCTGAACGAAAAACTGCACTTTCCCCAAAGAGGTGTATTTGGCGGCATTCTCACGCTCTCGTTGAGCCTTCCTCTTCATGGCCTCACGCTCGGGTCTCTGCTCTTCTGTAATGGGCGTTGACATCACTGGCTCAGGAACATTGGGTTTCCTCCATGGAATTGGCTGGAAGCCGAAGTCTTCGAGTAGATACTGGTTTTGAGCCTTAGGTGGGGACTGCGGCTTGGTCACAGTAGCGGGGGCAGGCTCCCGCTGGAAAGAAGTGCAAGGTGACTTTTTGTAAGGTGCAGGCCTAGAAGCAACAGACTGAAAAATACTAGGCCGGGCAGGGTTGGTCACACCTGGTCGGGCTTGACTGGTTGAAATTGGCTGAGCTGGTCTGGTAGGACCCATGCACGAGGCACTGGCGGGAGCTGGCCGAGATGGATTGATGGCAGTTGGTTGAGTTGAGTTAACAGAACCAGGCCGCGGAGGGTAAGCCCCAGAAGGCCGATGTGAGGCCAGAGACTGTGGCCTCCGAGGAACTGGTCGAGGTTGAGGCTTGTCCGAGGTCAGAAAAGGCAAAGGTACTAACTTGACCTTCCCAGGAGGTGGCAGCTCATACTGATTCTCAGCACCGCCATCTGGTTTCTGGGCTTTGACTTCTGTTTTCTCAGGACGTTTTTCCTTATCCAGCCATGGTTTGATAGCTGGGGATGGCCGCGGGTCTTTGGTGTTACTTGAGTTTCCCATGGCCCGGGAGGAAGGAAGTCCCGTTTTCTTATCATTTTTCTTCCCTAGTGCATGAAAAACCTGCACGGACTCCAGCATGTGCATACCCAGGCAGCTTCGAGGCTTTTTAAAGGCCACTTGGCTAAGATCAGGCTGATTTTTCTTCCGCTTCATCTTGGGAATGGTTGGCTTGTCCTCTGCCTTGACTTTGTTACCTGAGTGCTTGCTGTCTTCAGCTTTCTTGGGGTTGCTTTCTCTGGTCCTTTTGGCCTTTTCTTGTCCAGGGCCCTTAGTTTTGCTGATCCTGCTGGCTGCAGCTTTCTGAGGTTTGTTGTTAGAATGCTTGGCAGTACTCACAGGAGCCGTACCACTGGCTTCTGCATTGCCAACAACCACATCTCCCTCTGGGTTTTTTGCTGGGATTTTGGCCTTGGGCGCACCAGTGATAGGCTCAGAGGTTTTGTGTTTGTTCTTTCTGACTTGATCAGAGGAACCCTTTATCACGCTTGACTTTTCCTGCCCCTGATTCACCATGATGGATTTGGTATCTTTGACTTTGGAACCTTTGGACTGATCAGGGTCTTCCAAGGACTTGAAGAGCTGAGGAAGGTGAATATCCTTCACCAGTGTGGTGATATCTGCAAAACCACTGCTAGATTCAATCCCATTTTCACTTGTCCCTTGGACCTCAAGACTTAGGTGGTTCTTTCCCAGATCAGCGTTTTCAGAACCACACTGCTCCTCTTGACTGAAGGGATCAATACAGGCCAGAAATTGGTGGATATCAGGGATTTCTAAAGGGAGTAATGGAGGATCTTGGTGATCTATTGGGATCTGGTAGGCATCCAGAGGTTTCAGAAGCTCACTTTCAATCTCATCAAAATTCTTATTCTCTGTGCGTTCCTGGCTGGGAGCTGGAGGCAGTGCAAGGAGGTTACTAGAACTCTCTCCTGTAGTTATCACTGGAGTGTCCCCAAGCTCAGATGGTGGGTTGCTCTCAAATATCTGGATATTTCTGCTACTGCAGGATTTGAGGAATTCTGGAGTTTGTGGCAGGCAAAATGTCTGACTTGGAGGTTGGAATCTCACAGAAGTCTCCATCCCCAGGGAAGTTTCTGTCACTACAGAGGAATCAACGGAGAAGTCAGTCAGGCCTTGGTAAGTGAGACATTTACCCTAGACACCAGCAGAGCAATCAGGCACCTTCCCCAAGAATAGGCAAGTCTTTCTAAAAGCTTTTCTTAAGGACCATGGACAAGACTCTATTTAGGAACTTGTTGTTGTTGTTATGTGCCATTGAGTCAGACCTGACTCATTACGACTCATCCTTGGGTTTCCGAGGCAGTATCACTACGGAAGTAGATTGCCCCATCTTCCTTCTGAGGAGTGGTTGGTGGGTTTGAACTGCCAGCCTCTGGTTAGCAGTCAGGTGCCTTAGGCACTATGCTACCAGAGCTCCTATTGAGGCACTAGGAAGTTGCTATTTTTGTTCTGTCCAGTGATGTGATCATTTGATCATGTCTTGGTTTTCTTTTTATTTCTTACAGTTGTTGTAAGTAAATAGTGTGAAAACCAAAAAACCAAACCCAGTGCCATTAAGTCAACTCTGACTCATAGTGACCTCTATTGAGTTTCCAAGATGGTAAATCTTTAAGGAAGTAGATCATCCCATCTTTCTTCCATGGAGTTTGTGGTGGGTTTGAACTGCCAGCCTCTGGTTAGCAGGCAAGTGCCTAAGGTACTGCTCCACCAAAACCAAAAAACCAAACTGCCGTCGAGTTGGATCTGACATTCATAGAGACCCTTCCTTAGGTTTCCGAGGCGGTATCACTACAGAAGTAAATTGCCCAGTCTTCCTTCCAAGGAGTGGCTGGTGGGTTTGAACTGCCAGCCTTCTGGTTAGCAGTCAAATGCCTTAGGCACTACGCCACCAGCACTCCCACTGCTCCACCAGAGTGTCTTAAATAGTGTGAAGGTAACTGGTAGCATAGTGGCTAAGACACTTGCCTGCTAACCAGACGGCTGGTGGTTCAAACCCACCAGCCACTCCTCGGAAGGAAGGTTGGGCAATCCTACTTCCGTAGTGATACTGCCTCGGAAACCCAAGGAGGGGTCGCTATGAGTCAGGGCTGACTCGACGGCACATAACAACAACAACAACAACATCATTTTTATATAGGGTTCTTTCAGTTCTCTCCATTCTCCTGAGAGAGTAAGACCACTTTATGGCATGGACAAAGGACAGGGAATGTCATTCTTCCTCATAAGAGATTTAAGCAAAGATAGAGTCTGTACCTGCTTGCTTTAGACAGAGTCTTTTAAATCCTAATATCAATTAAAGAAATGAGAGGAAGAACTTGGCAGTGTCTTCCAATAAGACTAAAGATCAGGGAAGGGAGTTAATTGCAGTGTGGTGGTACAGGGGAAGTAGTCAGCTAGGGCAGTGGGAAGTATAGCAACCCTTGGTGTGCTCTTGCGTAGAGTCTGGACACACAGAGCAGTGAACGAGGGAAGTCTCAGGATTAAATTCTATGTATGTGTGGACTCCCCACTTCCCAGTTGAAGGTTTGACCCTCCTTCTGAATACTGACCTTATTCCTCTCTCTTCTGGCTCTTTCTACTCACCTTGAAAACTTGTTTCTGTGATAGGTTGAGTGGACACGGAGTAGTAACTTCCCGAGGTGGAGGCTGGCAGTAGGGCATCTGTGGGCTGAACCTCCTTTAGTACCATCACCATTTCTGGTTGAGGGGCAGAGCCCCTGCCTCCCGTGTATGTCACAGAGCCATAGGATTGCAGGCAGGGGCCAAGTTCTCCAGAGACAAGGGACCCCAGTGTGCCTTGATTATAGTAATATACCTGGCTCCCTTCCTGGTAGGGAAGTGACAAGCTATGTCCCTGATTTGGTGTTCCCTGAACAAGGCTAGCAGACAGTGATGGATACAGAGGGACCATGGAATTGGTATCTGAAGGTTTATCGTATTGAACTGCCATGGGCCTGGAGGAAATAGCTGCGTCCTGGTCAATGACAGTGACTGTGAGTTCCCTGAGTAAAGATGACTTCATTTCAGTGCTTCTGGTGACATCCCATTCAATAATACCCGGGTAGGAGGCAGATGAAGTGGAGATCTGGCTCTGGCCAGAAACTCCAGACAACATAGTTGTGCTAGAATGTTGGTAAAGGTAACCACTACTCATGAGTGGTTGGAAAGAGGTGCTAGGGGCTGATGGCAGTAGCCATGCCGAGCTGACGGCTGGAGCAGAAACTCTGGAGAGGCTGCAGACATTGCCTGTCAAGGGAGCTGCACTGCTCACCACCGGCAGAGAGAGCTCCAAAGAATTTGGAGTTCCAAGCAAAGACGGATTTTGGAAATTTTCTGTAGGAGACAAGAGAGTGGTGAAAAATAAGTGAGATTGATAAAGTCTCGCTATATTTCAGGAACAACATTAAAGTTGTTGGCAATCAGAAAGCTTCTAATACCAGTAATCACTGAGATGCCAAAAGTGCAACTTGCTTGTGGGTGCACTATGACGATGGTCCTGTTCTGTGTCACATGCCTGTGTTCCCAGCTTGGGCACAGATGTGCAGAAGATATCTAACTAGTCCAGCTCATACATTGTTCTCTAGCTTAGAGGCAACCTTCATCCTGTCGTGTCTTTCTCTTGAACCTGTAATAGTATTCACCCATATACTATTTTCTAGAATTGAGACATTTTGGAACTTAGAGGTTCTTCGAGAGCTTCTGTTCCAACACTTTCATTTTAGGAATGAGAAAACAGACTCAGAGACATCAGATGACTTGTGCATGTTCTCGCATTAGTTTGTAGCATCACCAGGCTACAGAACCTAGGTATCCTGACTCCCTTGCTAGAACTTTGCTCTGAGGGTTGTTGTACTGCCAAAAACTGAAAGAAACATAACTTTTAATATAGGCATTTTTTTTTTTTTTTTTTTTGCTATTTGAAAACAGAGCTCTTGTCATTGTAATTTTCAGTATCTCATTTTCCTGGTGAAATTCACATGACACATTCTAAAATTCATATATGACGTAGTCTGTTGGTAAATTTAAAAGGCCATTCTTACTCGTTTATAACCTGGCTTCTGATCCTAAGCCGAAATGGCTGCCTGAAAGGTAGTTAATCAAGGAATACTTTTTCTTTTTCCTTCTTTTTACTCAGCACTTAAGCAGTAACTCTTTATTCCCTGCCACCCCAGACCATAGAAACCACTAATCTAATTTTGTTTCTCTATGCTTTTACCTATTTTTTTTTTTTTTTTAAAAAGCCAAACTCACTGCCATCAAGTCGATTTGATTCATAGCAACCCTCTTGGGTTTCCGAGGCAGTATCTCTACGGAAATAGATTGCTCAATCTTCCTTCCAAAGAGTGGCTGGTGGGTTTGAACCTCCAGCCTTCTGGCTAACAGTCAGATGCCTTAGGAACCACGCCACCAGAGCTCCCTTACCTATTATAGGTAGTTCATATAAGTGGGATTGTATAATATTTGTCCTTTTGTTTCTGACTTATTTCACTTAGCGTAGTGTTTTTCAATATTCATCCTTGTTGGGGCATATATCAGGATTTCATTTCTCTTTATGACTGAGTAATATTTCATTTTATGTATATACCACATTTTATCCATTCACCCATTGATGGACACTTAGATTATTTTCACTTTTTGACTATTATGGATGATGCTGCAATGAACATTGCTATACAAGTATCTGTTTATGTCCCTGCATTCAGTTCTTTTGGATATATACCTAGGAGTGGAATTGCTGGGTCGTAAGGTAATGCTATATTTAACTTTTTGAGGAACCTCCAAATTACTTCTACAGAAGTAGTACCATTTCACATGCCTAAAGACATGCTTTTTGAAAGAAAAAAGAAAACTCGTTTAAATTCTCTGAGCTTCAGGTTCCTCATCTGTGAAGTGGTTGTAACAATGACAGCAAAAAGTGACAATAATAATGCATACATGAGTAAAAGTGACATATTGTAATTTGTATGCAGGAAGATATAACAAGTTCTGGAAAGACAAATATAATAATCTTGAAAAATATTTAACATCACAGAACTGAAAATATGTAGATATTAATGAAAACTGGAATGATAGTAAGAATAAAAACATAAGAAATTTACTAATAAAGAAATTTTGTATCATATGTGCTATGTATGTTATGTGAACAGTATTAACCAAAAAGCAGTTCTTAATAGGTGATTTTGAATGGATTTCTAATTAGTTCAGAGAAAATATATCACTAAAAATTGCATAGCAAGCATCAAAATTAAGTAAATGTGAGTTTATGGGCAGCCACAATATATGTAGATGGAGATGTCAACAGAAAGTGATACAAAGCAGAGAGAAAAAGAATAAATATATCATGCTTATTCATATTTCTCTGAGTATCATGTGCCCAACAAGTAACAGAGATAGGAATCCTAATGAAAATTGATATTTCAATTAATATAGCCACATAACCAGCAGGGGAAACAAAAACAAAAACACTTAAAAGTATCATAACGGTTTTTATATTCATTCTAAAAATCTAGATAATAATCATCTTCAAAATCAGGAACATGCCATCTCCAAAGCCAGAGAGCAAGCATCACTACTAGAATCCATAATTTAAACTAAAATAAACTCCCCTAAACTGTTGCAGATAAATGTGGAATTAGAAACGTGGACCTTGCCTTTTTCTTTTTAGGTAGCTAGAGTCTAAAAACAGATGATGACAGTTACAAGTATGTTTAGTACATACCTACTTGTAAAGGTGAAAAACAGCCTATACTTGGAATGTGCTAATCCCATCAAGGAGTTTGTCTTTCTGATGTCAGTTAGGAGACAACACATTTTCAAAAATAATTTTATTTTTAAAAGGCAAAATAGCTGCATGGTTTAAAATCAGTGAACTAAAAAGTATATGCTGAAAACTCTATTTATGCCTCCTACCCTCTAGAATCACTTTTATTCTTTTCTTGTTTATAGGGAGCATCATTTCTAAAACACATTTCTAAAATGTTTACACTGAAAACTGTCAAGTGGTATCTGTGTTCTGAGAGGCAGTAGAAAAAACAAAAAAACCAACTAAATGTGATGATTTGATATTTTTCTAGTGATACCTATTGTAGCCTTGATTTCTTTCCTAGTCCATTAATCTAAGCATTTGCTAAAAACAACTTCATGTTGCCTCACTGAGCAAATTCCACTCAATGCTCTTTCTGCTTTAATTTAAAATCCTCTTTGACATTCCATCCCAACTCCCTCTTTTTCCCCCTGAGAACTCCTCCTAGCTCTTCATTGGCTGGATCCTCGTATTTTCTCCCCCCCTTGGCTCCTCTTGGCCTGTGTTTGATCAAAGCAGTCCTGGACATCCTTAGATTCAAATCCCTGCCTCCTGATAGCCAGTTGCTCTCTCCCCATTTTCTCTTCTCACCCAGTTTAGATAGAAAACTCAAAAACATGTGAATATTACTTTTTGAACAGCTCTAAATTTGAAATACCAATAGAGAGATCAACTGTAACACCTTTTCTCGTATACATTGTTAATCTTCTACACCACTTAGGTTTTCTATTTCTGTTGAAATACTCTCAAGAAGTCTCTGTTTTCATTTTCAATATGTGTGCCCATTGAAACTGAATACTAGAAAATTAAGGGACCATAGAGGTCAACCAGTCTAATGTCCTAATGTAACAGATGAGGAAACAGATTCTGAGGAAGATTCAATGACTTGGCCAAAGTCACACAGCTAATATAATAATAATAATAATAATCCAAAACCAAAATTAGGTTTCTAGATATCTAGTTCTATACTTTCCTCCACTAGTCCATCTTACTTTGACTCTACTACTAAATTTAAGGTGGAGAAAATTTAATAAAAAGCTTTTAAAACAATCTATTTCCTTACCTGACATGGTCAGAGAAGAGGAAATATCAAATGTAGATACAAGGATTGAAGAGACAATACTAGAAGTTGTCTGAGTGACCGAAGCCAAAGAGCGTGTGTCCAGCATGAAGTTCACTGGTCACTGGTCACCTGCGATGATCCGAATTTATATACAGACAGCTCCATGGAAACCCCAAAATTCTACCAGATGGCAGTAGGTTTGGTGGGAGAATGAGGTCACAAAGCAGGCAGTTTAAAGGTATGAGATAGCCAATAAGGAGGTCAGATCCACAGCCAGAAGACAGGATTGGGTGGAGGGAGTGATAGGAAAACTATAACATCTCCTAAATGGCTGAGCTCTGGGCAGGTGAAATCCAAAATGACCGAAGTGGTTATTTTCATTTTCCTCAAGCTCTTATGTAGAGAAATCATGTCAAAATTTCTTATAGGTGTTCTTTAATACAATTACTTAATTATATTGTGTGTATAGTATTCAAAAAATATATTTATGTTATAATATATATTTATAATTAAAAATATAGTTAATATCCTTAATGAGGAAGGAGACATTTAGGTTGAACAATTACAGTTGTTGGGAAACCATATCAACTGAATAGTGGACTTACTGAAGCTTTTAAAGGACCAAAGCAAGGGATTAAAGAGCTCTTTTAGTAACTTGGTTGAAGAGTAGGCTGGCATTGCTTGATTGCATCTTGTGGGGAATGGCAGAGGCCCAGTGCTTTCTCTTTTAGTTTCTTCTCCTTTAATCCTCCCATCCTTTGCCTGGGTTGGTCTGGGCCAGGTTGTACTTCAATCTCTCTTCTGCTCTCCTTCCCTCCATTACAGGCATTGTTTCTGAATCAAGCTTGATCTTGCATTCTTACACTCATGGATGTTACTTCCTGTCAACTTCCAGAAGCATGAATCTTCTCAATGCCTTGGTGTTTCATAAAATGGACTGTCCTCATTAGAAGCAGACACCACAAGGCTGGAAGACATGGGCAATTGCACATCTTCCCTCTTCCAGACCTTGGTTTCAATTCTCTTTTTCCAGAAATGTCTACCTCTGACTCCTGGGGTACTGTAGGTGTGTTAGCATCCCACTTTTTTATACCTGAGAGGCATCTAGAATGCTTTCCTCCTTCCTTCCCACAGATGTGTATTCAGTGTGGCAGTTACTGTAGCCTGCTCCTCCTTGCAAACAGCCACCATGGAATCTTGGGCCTCCAGGATTCTCTCTCTGCTGCAGTGGGTGCAGGCCAGGCAGAGTTACTAGGAGAATAGTTGGAAAAAAAAGAGGACATTAGCGGTGAATAGGGCACAGTGAAGGGTACAGGAAAAAAAGAATTCACATGGGTTTATTTGTTTCTGTAAGAAACAAGTTGACACATTTTGGTCTCATTTTGTTATTGTTAGGCTGTTTTGCATTAACTCATACTTCTTCTTGTTGTTGTTATGTGCCGTTGAGTCAAACCTGACTCATAGCGACCCCTCCTTGGGTTTCCGAGGCAGTATCACTACGGAAGTAGGATTGCCCAACCTTCCTTCCGAGGAGTGGCTGGTGGGTTTGAACCGCCAGCCGTCTGGTTAGCAGGCAAGTGTCTTAGCCACTATGCTACCAGAGCTCCCAAACTTATACTTAGGTGGTTCAATATTGTTTTTTATGTAGCTAGATAGTCTGGCAGCTGCCATGAATTCTGTGCACTAAAGAAAATGATCTTGAATATGGTCTTCTCATTTTATCATACTATCCCATTTATGCCACTTGTTGGTCTGTTTGTAGAATATAGATTGCTTTTAAATACCCTGGTTTCATCTATGCATTTTACTTTTTTCCTTGTCAGTGTATTTTCAAGAAATCCGACATTATATGTTGCATGTTTTTCTCTTGACGATGATTTATTTTGAAACATCTTGAACTAACTCAATAGGAGAGATTTTTGCAGAGAGGCTTAAGAAGGGAGCTGTGGTAAAGAAATTATGGTGAGTTATACCATGCACGTAAGCATAAGGAATGGAGGTTGGTAGTCAGCCCTGCGTGGCTGGCCTGCAGTGCCCGTGTTTTTGTTTGCCTGGTTAGTGTGTTTCTTACTGACTTCTCTTGTGATTGTCATAAAGTGCATTAGGACTGGGAGGCTAGTGATTTATATGTGGAGTTGGCTGGTTTGGGGAAGGAAATCTATGGATCTAAACATTTCCTTTGATGGTAAGCTTTTAAGGGTGCCTAGATTTATCGGGGGGTAGACAGTGCCAGTGAGTAGGTGGTGTGAGGTGGCAAGAGCCAATAAGAAGATAAACTCATGGATGTGACTTCTGAAGACAAATATTGCATCGATAGGCCTCTTTTTCCCTGTCTGTTCTGAAAATGTTCCTAGTGCTTACTGTTGTTGTTGTTATGTGCTGTCGAGTCAGACCCAAGTCATAGTGACCCCTCCTTGGGATGCCGAGGCAGTATTACTTCGGAAGTAGATTGTCCAACCTTCCTTCCGAGGAGTGTCTGGTGGGTTTGAACCGCCAGCTTTCTGGTTAGCAGGCACTATGCTACCAGAGCTCCCCTAGTGCTTACAGCAGTTGTTTAAATGATGGGAGGTGATGCTTATCTGGGAGTAAGTTGTGAGAAATGTTTCAGTGTAGAGATATGGCTCAGGCTATATAAATTTTCCAAGGTTTTTTCCCTTTGAGCTCAGCTTCATACTTCAGATGGCCTTCTTCCATGATACTAGTATGTAATGGGAGGCTAACAATATCTGAAATATGTCTCTATTTTTTCTGTATTTCCATGGAAATCAAGGGAATCCATAGGTATTATACGTTAGGATGGGTGCTGTAATATTGTAGGTGGGGGAAAATTTCTGGTAGCAGTGAAATCTTCATGTATTAAAATATCCAATTCCAATATTCGGTTCTCTTTAGCTGAACATCAGATGTAGTTAAGCCTCTCCTGGCCACCAGCCTCTGTAGCTATTTTCTCCCCCATGGGTGTAAATATTTGACACCAGCTTACAGGCTCAGAGTCACCTTAATCTCTAAAATAAACCTAACAGGTAGGAGGAAAGCCTAAAGAGTGTTAGGCCCACATTCTGGAGCTCAGCACCAGGTCCAACATAGCCTAAAGCCTCTGTTTTCATAGTTGGGGTGCTATCTTGCCCCAGAGACCCAGTCCTTGCATTTTATGTATCCATCAAGATAACTGGGACTTGTCTTGGTGTAATGTATCATGTCCATCTACGCCTGAGGCTCTTCATTACTCTCCTCATTGCCACTTTTTCATTTTATTAAAGAGTAGAGTCCTCAAATGCCCTACATGATAACCTGGAGCCCTGCAGATACTGATTGTTTTGTTAGTGATAAGCACTTAGCTATTTGGTGTTCTAAGTATCCCTTGTTCATCTATATCCCATTGCAGCATAATACATACTGTGAAGATATTCTTTTACTTTATGTGGGCCCACTCCAAAAACCTACTCTTTGCTAGTTCCCATACTTTCTGGAAATCCTGTTCTGCTGCAGTGCAGTGAATAACTTAGTAGGGCCAGTCTAGCTATTTAAAAGAAAAAAAAACAACAACTCACTGCTGTTGAGTCAGTTCGACTCATAGCAACCCGTTTCCAAGGTGGTATCTCCATGAAAGTAGATTGACCAGTTTTCCTTCCAAGGAGAAAGTCTGAGAAAGGTGGGTTTGAACCGCCAGCTTTTAGGTTAGCAGTCAAGTACTTTTGCTGCTATATTGTAAACCCTACCCTCTATGTCTGTGGTTATGGTCCCATTTTGGAGTGAGTTGTCTGTTATATTAATGAAGCAGGGTTAGGGTAGGATGTACTTTGAGTCACCACCTGACTGGAGGTGGTGATTCAAGTCACCACCCTCAGTTTCCTTGAGGGTATGGTCTGCATGCAATATGAGTGCTCTGACAAAGTTCCCTCTCTTGCTCTGAGTCCTCCATGCGGTGTGTCATCATCTGACTCCCAGTTCTTGGGACGGAAACAGCAGCCAGTCGTCTGACCTGCAGATGTGGGTTTATCGGCCCCTGCAATGATGTGAGTGAGGAGAATCTTCCAGACTGATGCCTGAACCACAGATTTGGGACTGGCCAGCCTCTGCAACTGCGTGGGCCATTTCCTTGGCAGTTCGTGAGTTCTGTGAGACGTTGCAATGAATTGTGGAACCCTCGTATAGGAGGAAGAGTACCAAGGGGCGGAGTGGTAGTTGATGTTAAAGATGATGAAGTGGTGCAACAGTTTGGGAAAGCTGGAATTTGGGACACCTTTAACCTCTGCCTCATAGGGACCAGCTTTGTGCTGATCCTTCTAAAAGAAATTATTCCAACAGTTGGTGTCAGAATTATGGATTAGGTGCAGTGGCCCAGACTCACTGGAATATGTGCTTTTGGAAAAAAAGAAGATAAATGGGAAAATGAGAAACCTTTGGTTTCTGAAAAGGATAAAAATATGCAGCTGTTAGGTTGTAATCAGTTACCCAAGGCAAAAGCTGTTCATGGGATTTAGGAGTGGTGTATCCAACTCCTGAGTAATTGACTGGTTAGATGCATATGGAAATACAGACTGATCAGGAAAGGGCAAGAATTAATTCCTTGGTTGCAGTAATAGGTGCAATGGCAGGGGAAAAGAATGTAGGGGCAGATTGTAGAACTGAACCAAGTCCAGATCTGGTCCAGTCAGAGCTATACCTATGCTAGTCTCAGAACTGACCCAGAAAGGAAAAATCATGTTGAACAACAGGAAGTACCCCTGTGACCACTGGTCGGTCACCAAGAAGATAGTCTGAGAGGGGAATGGGCAAAGCCAAGAAACTACTGAAATCAGGGATTGACACTGTAAAGGAGTTTTTGTTAGCTTCCTGAGGAACCTTGACTAAAATAGATTGTGAAAGTGACGAATTTAGGGGCAGTGTCTTTACTTTTGAATATTGCAGAATGGAAGAGTATGTTTGGGTTGATGCAAGACCCACAACTCACGGTGGAACAGTCACGAATGATTATCCAAGATCTAGTTGCAAAACAGATTAACCCAGAGGGGACAGCCTCTGTTTTGTACTGATGGGCTGTATAAAATTTGCAGTGAGGTTTGTTTACCCTTAGAAGGGATACTCACCCTCTCTCCCTCTAAA